GTGTGTGTGTGGGGGGGGGGGGGTGAACATCTCTTCTGTTTCTGTAACCTTCTAACTTAATTTTGAAAATCTGTTCCTGATCCCAGTGAATGCAACATAACTAATACCTAAAGTCCAAACTTTATTAGGTCTGACCAGACAGGAGATTAAAGAGTTGCCAGGATGAAACTATTTAATCTAGAATTATTGACTGGAAGAAAAAACAACAGCTGTAGAACTACAGTATCTGGAAATGTAAAAAAAAAAAAATCAAACTCGTTTTAACATAAAATATCTTTTTAGAGGACATTTTAAACCAAATTAATGAAGAACTAAAACAGTAACAAATTTAAATCTGTAAACAAAACTGTTAATAATAATAATAATAATAATAATTGGTTTTATTTCTCTTATTGGCAAGTAAATAAATACATAAAGGTGGATCTTATTTTCTTATTATTTTGTAAATAGTGAATGCATTATTTTTTTCTATTTAAAATATACATCTTTCAGTTTATTGCCTAACCTTCACTAGAGAACAAGAAAAATATTCAACTGAACTGATTAAATTATTTTACAAATTATTCATTGCTGTGACTTTGAATTAGTTTTAATAATTTTATGTGGTGGAAGAACACTTGTCTACAATGGAAATAAATGTAAATATATATTTGACTTAAAATCTTATTTGAAGTCTGCTTCTCTGACCACAAGATGGCAACAGTAAATCACATGCACTAAGATTCACTCTGCCAAAAACTAACCAAAGAGCACCTTTTATTCACTGCTCACTGTCTTTTAGCAAAATATCTCATGAACAACTCGACAGATTTTATTTAAACTTTCAGATAATAATCTTTGAACATACAGGTACAACTGATTAACATTTGGAGTCAAGATAAGTTACCCTGGCTAACACAGAAATATCCTTAACTCAATCAGTTTTATAAATATTAAGGCAAAATTTGGTGAGGTCGTAGCTGTTTTTTTCAACTTTTACTTCAAGCATTAACGGATTAGGTGAAAAATCTGAGCAAAACTTTGTTATTAACTATTTGGAGCTAACTGTGCCACTTAGCACAATATCTCATAAATTAGTGGACATATTTTAAAAAAACTATCAGATAGTTTTCCCTGACTGCACGTCTACAACTGATAATGTTTTAAAGTCAAACCAATTCATGATGACTGCTGCAGCTTATCAACTAAAGTCAACACAAAATGACTATAATTCAGTTAGTTTTACAGTTTAATCAGATTAGTTGAGCTAAAACATCACACAATATCTTCAGATACGATATTATCACACATAATGCGATTATCACATCAGTGTTTGACCAAAACGCTACAACAACATAAATATAACGTTAGTTTAAAGTTTTGTCTTGAAAGCAGCACTGCTAGTTTTAATTTGAGAAAGTTGATATTTGTGGTGCACCCAAAATGGAAGAAGCAGGTAAAAGATAATGGATGGATGGATATTTGTGGAGCTTAGGCATGGAAAACTAAATAGAAGTAGATGTTTCCGCTCTCTTTTTAATTATCCTCAATTATGCAATCCTTAATTATCCTACTTAATGATTTAATTGTCCTCTCAAACCCAGCACATCAAACTAGATGGCCTCTTGTCCTGAGCCTGGTGCTGCTGGAGGTTTGTTCCTGTGAAAAGGGAGGTTTTCCTTTTCACTGGTGCCATCGTGCTTTATATACAGTATATATATATATATATATATA